CCTCCTCCTCCTCCTCCTCCTCCTCCTCCTCCTCCTCCTCCTCCTCCCTCTCCTACCTGCGGTAGTGTTGGTGGATAACGGGCCCATTTGGGTCGTCGTGGACGGTCCCAGGGGTTGGAGGTATGGGTATGGGTCCAGGTGTGGTGGGTGGGGACCGGCCCGCCTGGCGCTACGCCCCCCATGAGCGACCAGGGCCCTCTAGACTGCAGGGCTTCGAGCTAAATCCACCCGGAGAGAGTGGGAGAGAGGGAAAAGGCTGGAGAATGTTGGGGCCCACGGCAGCAGTTTTCTCGGGCGCGCCAGCGCCCCGGCTCGTCAAAGTCCCCGATTGGCTCGGGTGGTGCTAAAAGATGCCCCTGGCTCCAGGGGCAGGAAGGGGGGGGGCCCATGTCCCGCGCCCGATCCCTCCTCCTCCTCCTCCTCCTCTCCTCCTCCTCCTCCTCATCCTCCTCCCCTCCTCCTCCTCCTGTTTCCTCCTCATCCTCCTGTTCCTCCTGTTCCTCTCCTCCTCCTCCTCCTCCTCCTCCTCCTCCTGCTCCTCCTGCTCCTCCGCCTCTCCCTCCTCCGCCTCTCCTTCCTTCTCCTCCTGCTCCTCCTCCTCTTCCTCCTCCTCCTCCTCCTTGTTGTCCTCCGTGTTATCTGCCGTGTTATCCTCCGTATCTTCCTCTGTTTGTTCCTCTTCTTTCTCCGTGGGTTGCGTTCGGATCCGTATTTGGCGGTCATGGAACCCATGACCGCCAAAAACGGATCCGTAGTGAAACGATTCACCAGAGGGCCTGGCCGATTTTGAGCGGTGCTGGTTGCACTCCTCCCTCTTGACCAGTCTTCTCAGGGCCAATCAGCTCAGCCCCCCGAGCCGCCTCCGAGTTTGGACACCCAGATCCCATAATGATGATCGTTTTTGTTCGGTGGGAGGCGAATCAGGCTAGAAGTGCACCAGTATGACCGTGTTGGAGCCCCCCCATTCCCGTCAGTTGGGAAGCAAGCAGTTTTTACAGTGTGACTGAAACCAAGATTTGCACTCCGTGTCAGGTATCGGACTTGGCTCCGCGCTTGTACGAGACCTGTACCGTGGCCTGTCTCCAAACTACTTTGAGCGCCTTCCTCCTCCTGTTTTTTTCGATGGTGGGCCAAGCCCCCATTTGCCGAACCGCCTTTTCGCATGTTCCTACCTGCCTCCTCCGAACGGTTGAATTTAGCATCAGAGCTGGTACATCCGTGACCGAACACCGGCCACATCCCGCCGAGTCCCGCCCAGCCTGGCGTGCCCCCCTGCTTGCGCAATCCACCTTCGCCGCGCCAAGGCCGGGCCTAATGCCAGCTAGATTCATTACCCCTTCACATTCGGCAGCGGCCAAGAGGGGGGTGATGGCTAGGGGGGTGGGGAGATCATGGCGGGGGCCATACTATCCCACCTGGTATCATGGCGCCTGCTCCTGTTTCGCTACGTCCTGGCCCTCCCCGCCCGCCCTGGGGCCATGATTTGCGCCCCCCCTCTTAGACGCCCTCCTCTCGACCGCCCCCGAGGCTTGGTCGCCCCAGGCCGTTTTTTGTCCACCGCCCCCAGGAGTCGTTCCCGAATGACGGCCTGCGTAGGCCTTGGGGCGTCAGGCCTGCCGCGCCCTCGAGCGCAGGGTCCCCTCGTCAAAGACACCTCCATGTTCTTCGAAGTCGGGCCTGTGACCTCTACAGGAGGAATTGTCAAGAATAGTCAACAAAATAATGGTGACACGTTCTTTTTGACTACTTTGCCGTTCGCCGAATGTTGCGAGAACGTTCCGTTGTAATCCACCCCCTGATTTTCGAGCTGGACTCTGGTCTGCGCCCCTTGCCTCGTGCGCAGGGCTCGAATAGGGGATCGACTGCAACATGGATTCGTCTCGTACTTGAATGCGTCGAATTTTCTACGGAGCCTTTTACGTTTTCTGCCTACTTCATAGACTCAACGAACCAGTCAATTGTGGGATACATCCATTCTGCAGCAGATCCCCTGCCCGACGGGCCCCTCTCTCCCTCGTAGGAGCGCTCGCACTCTGCGCCCCCGCCGGACTGAGAACACGACCTGGCACCGCCGGGCGGCCGTCCTGGAGGACCGCGCCGCCTGGGGCCGAGGCTCCCCTTCCCAGGCCACTGGATGCCGATTTTTGTTCGGTCGCGACTGGCAGCGGCCGACCGGCTCTTCAGACCGGTCGCGACCGAGGTTTTGCGGCAGGTCGGTCGCGACCGGTGCCGAGATGTGAGGCAGCCTCGGTGGCGACCGATCTCCGCGGGCGCGAGGCCGGAGCACTCCAGTATCAGTCGATCAGGGTGCCGCCTCCTCCGCACCCTCCGCCGCTCAGGTGGAGATCACCCCAGGCGGACCGCGGCAGCCGCCGCCCCGAGGGGGGGGGGGGGGCGTAAGACGACTCGAAGATCGGGACAAAATCGGATCGGGATAACTCGAAATCTCTGAGAATCGGCGGGTTTGGAGGATGTATTGGGCGCCGCGGCCGCTCCAGAGCGTTCCGGAACGCTCTGAGAGCGCTCCGGAACGCTCTGGAGCGATTTATCCCGATCCTAGCCCTGTTTTAGGGCGTCCTCCCCCTCCCACTGCCCGCCCCGCGGTGAGGCGTGGCGTGGGACGTTGAGGGGGCGAGGAGGGGAGAAGGGGGGAGCAGTCCAGGCCTCCCACATGGGGTTCGAGCCAAGTGAGTGGGTTGGAGGATGGGGAGATCGCGTCGCATCGCCGATGTGTCGCCCATGCGGCGCATTGTGGAGGCCGATGTGCTCCACCCCGGCGTCGCCGATGCGTCGCCTACGGCGCATGTCCCAGCATGAGCGCATGCGAGTCCGCAGCATCGAAAGCAAAGCTAACCTGGTTAGGAAGCGGCTGCTCTGGTCGGCCACGGACAGTACCGCCGCTTCGCAGACGGCAGGGTGCGAGCGTGGCAGGGCCTTTGACGAGGCCGCCGCCCGAGTTCCCCCCTCCGCCCCCTTCCATAGCTGTTGCACTCTTCGCGACTTCACACGTCCTTACAAAAACCGGGGGATGGTGCAGCGTGTGCAGAGGCTCGGCTGCCAAGGCGTGTTTGCCCGAATGGTCAAAACGTGTGTGGTTAGAATTCGATTCCGTGGATCTCCAGAGGACCGAATTCACACCTAGGTTGGACCCATGCTTCACACGCCTTAATTTATCCTCATCATGTGAAGATCTAATACTGCGGTACTTGTGTTGTTTTGGTCAGGCCCAGCTCAGGGGCATGGGGAACTTGTGCACTGCACCGATCTCAAAGGCCCATCGGGGGTATCCCGATGGGAGATCTCAAGGGAACTCCTTCTCCTTGAAGCAGTCTGAGCCTGATTCAATCACTGCGCTACGGCGGAGATCCTGGAACACCCCCCGCCCCCTTCCTAACCAGGAGGAGGAGGAGGAGGAGGAGGAGGAGGAGGAGGAGGAGGAGGAGGAGGAGGAGGAGGAGGAGGAGGAGGGGGGAGGAGGAGGAGGAGGAGGAGGGGAGGAGAGGAGGAGGGGGAGGAGGAGGAGGAGGAGGAGGAGGAGGAGGAGAGGAGGAGGAGGAGGAGGAGGAGGAGGTCGCCGCCATCGCCGTCGTCGCCGCTCGGCCCCGCCCCGGCCCGAGCAGCCGGGCACCGCCCGCTGGCGGCCCGCCCCCCCCGCATGCCCGACACCGCGCCAGCTCCATGCCGCAGCCCGCCGCCCGCCGCCGGCGCCTGCCCAACAGGCCGCCGCCCCGCCGCCGCTGCCCGCCGAAGCATCGGGGGGGGGGCACCTCTCTCGAAGAGTTATTTATATTTTTCTATAGATAGGTGTATATATATTCATATATATATATATATACAAATATATATTCATATGTATATATATATATATAAGCTGATGGGACTTCACGCGCGCCGTGCCTCCGCGGAGGCATCCAGAGAGCTCGCGGGTCTCCGCTTGATTCTGTCTGCCGGTCCGTTCGGGCTTTCTCTCCGTGCAGTGGAGGAGTGAGGAGTCAGAGGGGTGGGGTGGGGGAGGAGGTAGGGCAAAGGGGGTGAAGGGGGGAGCGGAGACGGAGAGGAGGGAATGGAACTGCACTGGGAGGATTCCTGAGCATGCCGGGGACAAGGCGGCGCGGAGGGAGGAGCGGGAAGGAAGAGTGGGCGTGGATGGGGCCTCTCCCGCCCGCCTCCTGCACTCTCTTTCCTTCTCCTTTCATCCTCTCGAGCCCAGTGTTTCCCACGTGTCGACTCCTTCTCCTTCTTTCGTCTCGATGATTATTTCTCTCTCCTTCTACGTCTCTTCCTCTTTTTCTTTCTCCTTTCTTCGTTTCCTTCTCCTTTCTTCGTCTCGATGATTCTGGGGACGTGGCTTGGCCCAATGTGTGTGCTTTCCCCCGTCCAGATCCGTGGATCGCCCGCTGCCCGTCTCGGCCCTCACTGCACCGCCGGTGCCGTATGGAAAGGGTTCCGGTGGACAAACGCACGGTGGCGCTGGTACACGCTCGGAGGATCATCGGCGAGAGCAGAGTTTCGGGGGCGGACAAGAGGGGGGTGATGACTAGGGGGGGGGATATCATGGCGGGGGCCACGATATCTCCCCAGATCTCGTGGCGCCTCTTCTTATTTCATCACGTTCCTGGTCCCCCCGCTGAGCCGCGCACATGCCGCCGGTCATGATTTGCGCCCCCCCCTCTTGGACACCCACCTCTTGGCCGTTCCCGACTGGTACACGTTCTGAGGATCATCGGCAGAAGCAGAGTTGGCACCCGTGGGACCGTACAGGGCTCGGAATGCAGCGCGCGAGTTCTTCGATGGTGCGCGGTTCTCGCCATCGCCCTGCGGCTGGATGTCAGGGGGCGCCCCCCGCCGTTGCCACGCTGCTCTCGACCCCCGAGGGGCGGTTCCTCGCCGCCGTGGGCGATCGGATCTTCTGGGGGCTCTGGGGAGTGCCAAGGTCGAGGGCAAAGTCAAGACGGCCCACGCAGGCGGGCGGTCAAACTTTCCCGCGCGTTCGAGCAGCCGCCTCGGGGCCCCAGCGGGCATCCGTGGACAGTCGACAGCCCGTCTGGGCATTCGTGGACAGTCGTGGGGATATCTTGGCCATCTTGGAGGAAACTCGGAGGCCTCCGGGGCATCCGTGGACAGTCGGCAGCCTGGGAACTCGAGGACTCCAACCGTGGAAAACCTACGGGAAACCTGTGGCGTAAGCCTTTGGAGGCCACCGAGGACAGGGCTCGGTGTGCTCGGGCTTTTTTTTTGTTGCCGCGGTGTGTCGGGCCCGGCCCTCGTGTGATGTGGGAGGCGTGGGGTCAAGGCGGGCATGGTCCTCTACATGAGGAATGTAGTCAAAACATAGTTTGGGGACGATGCCTCTATTCTTACTCACCAGTGTTAAACAGCTCTTGATTATCTATAATTTTCATACAAAATCAGCCTGTGGGAGGACATGCCTGGCCCAAGGCTTGGGAGAAGGCGCTCCCTCTACAGGAGGAACATAGTCGAAACATAATTTGGGGACGGGCGCTCTGGCGCTCACGGGGGGGGGGCGGGATGGGGGGGATAAGCTGGTATAACGCCACGGTTTGCGCCGGTGGCCACTTCCCAGACGGAGCCCCCTCCCTCCTCTTCCTCCTCCTCCTCCTCCTCCTCCCTCCTCCTCCCTCCTCCTCCTCCTCCTCCTCCCCCTCCTCCTCCTCCTCCTCCTCCCCCTCCTCCTCCTCCTCCTCCTCCTCCTCCTCCTCTTTCCTCGAATCTTGCAGCACTGGGTTCGAGAGGGGGAGCACGGCTGCCGCCTCGCGGGCCGCAGGTTCCTTCTGACGCTGGCGCTGGGCATCTTCGACCTCGTTGCTCCGCTGACGCGCGACGCCCCGAGGAGGAGGAGGAGGAGGAGGAGGAGGAGGAGGAGGAGGAGGGGGATGAGGAGGAGGAGGAGGAGGAGGAGGAGGAGGAGGAGGAGGAAGAGGAGGAGGAGGAGGAGGACGACGAGGAGGAGGAGGAGAGGGATGAGGAGGAGGAGGAGGAGGAGGAGGATGAGGAGGAGGAGGAGGAGGAGCAGGAGCAGGAGCAGCAGGGGGAGGGGGCGCAGGAGGAGGAGGAGGAGGAGATTGCTCCTCCGTCGCCCCGCCGTGTGGTCGTTCCACTCGCATCTCCCTCTGCTTCTTGGCTCGCCTGAGGCATTGTTTGCTCTTCGTGTAAGTCCCACAGCGAAGGCCATATAGTCGAGGAACCGTACGACACGAGTGCGCAGCAACTCTTATTTGCCGACGCTCTTTGACACGGCCCGTCCCGAAGTTTGGCGGTCCGATCTTCGTGGGAGGCTGGCAGCGGGAGCTCGCGTCGACCGTCAGCTTCCGGGTCGGGCTTTGGCATGTTCTTGACGGCCCCGTCAGGCCAGCCCGAGTCCCCCCCGGACCCGAGCCCCAAGTCTCCCCGACGCGGCGGGAGAGGACCTTGTGCCGGCCCTCCCCGGCGCTGCCACAGCACCAGCCCTTGGGCGCGGAGGAGCTGCAGCTGCAGCTGCGGGAGGCACAGGCGCGGCGGCAGACGGCGAGAGGACCCACGAAACTCGCCAACCGAGATTTCGGTCCACCAACCTGCGCGGGGTGCCACTCCCCAAAACCCTATCAAAAGGACACTGAAACGGGCCGTTTGGGGCACGATTGATGCCCATTTTGGCCACCCGTGGATCCGTGACGGCCATTGCTTCCCGGGGTGCTTCCCGGGCCTCCTCGCGCCGTGCAAAGATCACGACGGGAGGCTTCCCGCCACGTTCGGCCCCTGGGGGCCCTTGCCGTCAAGTCGGGCAGGTCCCTCTGCAGGAGGAACAGTCAGAAATAGTCCAGACGTTGCCTGGGGACGTTTTTGTTGTATATCATGTTTGACCATTTGGGGGTATTTTTGGACCATTGTTCCATTTCTCGTCCAAGATCCGCCTGTAGGGGGGCATGCCCGACCTAATCTTACCGGGCCCCAGGAGCGTCGGAAAACGACCCAGGATGCAACAAAGGTCCTGGGGAAGGGGTCCAGACCTCTGGGGGCGGACGCTGTGAAAAAATCACGACGTCAAGGGTCTGGGTTCCGAGCACCTTCACGGAGGAGCCGGAGGGGGCTCGGGGCAGGCTCAAGTCGGGCTTGTCCCCCTACAAAGGGAATATTCCCAAATAGTAAGTTAGTAGCCTGATTGTTGGACTATTTTTGATTATGTTTGAACATGTTTTGACGTTTTTTTTTTTTTTTTTTTTTTTTTTTTTTTTTTTTTTTTTTTTTTTTTCGTCCAAGATCTGCCTGTAGGGGGACATGTCCGACCTAAGGGCAGGTGGGTGGCGTCATGAAGGAGAGTCAGAGCCCCGAATCATCAGGGATAACTCGGGTCAGGGCTAACT